TTTCACGTAATCCATCTCTTTCTAGAACCATCTCTACTGTGTACGGTACGGTACGGTGTACTTCCACATTCGTCCTTAATCAGACATATAAAAATTTACTATTCCTAGATACAAAAGGCTAGGTACAGAATTCCAAATATTTCCACAATGATTTACTTAGGAGTAGCAATAGGTTTTTTGTTTTATTATTTAGTCACAAAGGTTTTTAATATAATTCAAAATAATTAATCTTTATTAGAATTAAAATTATTTAATTATTGTACTTAGTACCAAGTTTATACAAAATCGAAATAATACCGTTTGCCAGTTCGGTTATTACAATATTAACGTCAATATGAAACTCACTTCTATTTTGTTTTCGTGGAAGCACTAGCAGCGAAATTAAATTAACTGAAACATAGTTTAAACTCTATTCGGAAAACTCTCCAAGCAAATTCATCGGTAAAAATCGTTTATTACAACAGTATCATAAATTATTTAGTTGCTTTTAGTCAACAAATTCATATTTTACAAGGAAAATGTATGTTTTTGTGAAATATAATATATATTTTGTTACTATTTATCTTCTTTTTTAATGTATTCCTTTTTGCAAAATGACACAAAGTAAAAAATTCAAAGCATAATATATCGTACAATCCGATTAGCATAAGCTCGTTTGTACTTTTGGTGCGAAATAAATCCCGCAGGCGCTAAAGCAAAAAATACTGTTTGGTCTTTAATGTTTTCTCATACACTGCGTTTTATATTTAAAGGGTAAAAATGTTTGAACCAATAAAAAAGTGGGAAATGCTAATTGTTAAACTTGTAAGAACAAATCTGCAAAACTTTATCGCATGAAATTCGGTTGGAATACGTAATTAAAATAATATTGTAAAAATGTTGATAAAGATAAAACTATTAAAGGAAGAACGCAGGGAAATTTACATTCATTATTAATTTATCACGATGTTAATCTTTTGATTTACAAAACACTGCAACCTGTTGGCGGCAACCCTCCTGAATAATTTAGACGCTGAGTTAATTGAATTTTAAAATTGATAACACGATTGCGGGAAAGTATTACACTTGTATAGTCTAATTCAATTTAAATTACATATATTTTGAGATATGACTAGCTGATAATGTTCTTTAACACTAAAACTTTCCTACGTAGACATTTTTTTTTATCATATAAGGTGGCAATCGAGCAAGCGGCCACCTGTATCCGAAATGAAAGCGACCGCTGCCCATAGACATCCGCAATTGCAGATGTGCTGCCTACCCTTAATTGACGGAGGAGGAGACGCGCATAAAGAGGATATTTCCCATTCCTATGCGTCTCCTCCACCCTCAGATTCACTTTTCCTTCCCATCCATTCCTCTCAAGAAAAGGGTGGAAAGGGAAAGGGACTAAAATAAGGCATAGTAAAGTTTCAGTGTTCATGATTTACTAACTCTGCTTACCCTCATGATTATAAAATTTGTTTTTTATTTGTCATCTAATATTATAAGAAAACTTTGTTTGTTTGATTGTAATGAAATAACTCAAAAATTACTGGGCCGATTTAAAAAAAAATTACTATTAAAAAGTTACGCTGTCATTGAGTAACATAGGCTATGTTTTATATTATTTTTTAATTTCAAGCGGACGGAGTCGCGGGCGAAAGCTAGTTTTCAATAAATTTGATTCTACGCCTTATGATAACAATTTTTTTTTATAATATGTAATGATTATTGCATACTTTCATTTTTTATAAAATTCAATAAAGAAGTTTACAGAAATTTGTCACAGCGATATGTATATTATAGTCAAACATGTGAACACTTAGGCAACCAAAAGACGATCTACTGATCTTAAGTAATCTCTAGTAAGTTTAGTTAATAAAGTAATGTTTCTTCATGAATTATGTACTAAAGAAAATTCGCTCAGAAATGAGTAAAGTTAATTATGTTTAATTTATTCGAGTCGAGATTTACTGGTCGTTAGTTCATTGTAAATTCAAATGTTAGCCAGTTTATTCGTTTAAGGGCTTAAACAAAGTCAAGAATGCTGTTAAACTATTTAAAGTGTAAATATTTAAAGCTACATTCAAAGCTTAAGGGGCGAATTAATTCGCGAAGAGGGGCGTGTAATGCGTTGCTCTCAGCTATCAGTGTGTTATTTCAAATTGGCTGTGTTTTGTTTCGGTATGAAATTATTTTTAACAAAACTACACGCCATTGAACTTAGATACCATATCGAAGTAGTTTCTAGTTACGTATTCAATCTTACTAATATTATTCGAAAATTTAGACGAATGGATGTATGGATGGATGAATGTTTATAAGACTATGTAGCCTAAACCGCTAAAGGGATCTCGATGAAATTTGGCAGGAATGCAGATGATAGTCTGGAAGAACATATAGGCTACTTTTTTGTTTTTTTTTTAATTCTTTAGGTCTTTAATCTTTCTAATATCATAAATGCGAAAGTTTAGATGAATGAATGAATGGATAGATGGATGGATGTTTGTTAGAGTTTGTAGCCTCAACTGATGAATGGCATAGACGTAGAGGATAGTCTGGAAGAACACAGGTTACCTTTGTTTTTGGTTATTCCACGCGAACGGAGTCACAGGCGAAAGCTAGTTGTAATATTAGTTGAAGATATACTTCTTGCTTAAAGTGTGACATTGTAAGATTAAACAATTTCGATACTAGTAGATGTTCAGAAAATTGTCATAAAGCAGAGCTTTTTTTAAAGAGGGAGACAGTGAAAACCCACAGTTATATAAACCACTTAAAGTTTCTCATCTTTTTAGCACATTGAATATGTGAATTTGCCGTCTGCATCTAATGGCTTAAATTTCTAACTTGGAATGAGAATTTTAACATAAATCTCATACGACATTTGGGGAAAATTAAGTGAGAATGGCTTTATAGTTTCTATTGTACTTCAACTCTGGTATTGTCTGTGAAAATTGACAATTACTGTAAACCATTGTACAACATTGCGTCAAGCAGTCTCAGAACGATGGGTTAGTTAAAAAGTCAAGTAACAATTAACTAAAGATATTGAATATTCATTTGTCTAGTACCTAATATTTAAAAATTAGCTTTCACCCGCGACTCCGTCCCTGCGGAATTAAAAAAAAACAAGTCAGTAACCTACATATGTGTTCTTCCACACTATCATCTACATACATATCATCATCACCAGCTCACTATACGTCCCCACCGAGGGGCTCGGAGCCTATCCTAAAGTTAGGGTGACTAGGCCATAGTCAACCACGCTGGC